TATCTATCTATCTATCTATCTATCTATCTAATTATCTATCTCTATATCTCTCTATTTGTTTGTCTTTCTATCTATCTATCTACCCATATATCTACCTACCTAACAACCTATTTCTATCTATCTATCTATATATCTATCTATCGATCTATCTATCTATATCTATCTATCTATCGATCAATCTATCAATCTATCTACCTATCATAATTATGTTGTAAAAAATTGGCTTTATTCGCAGTCTGGTGAGACCATAACACGAGGTCCTTCCAGCCAATTCTTTCCCGGAAATGGAAAGCCATTTGACAATATTCTCTTATTCAATCGATTGCCTAATCTTTTGCTTAGTTGTCACGTCTCCATTTTAGGCAAAACATATTTTATGAGATGTATTCACCCAATTTCGTTTAAGTTAATGATGGACTGTTAGTAGAATTATCCCGCAATGATTTGAGTAGAGCTGAAGTTTTCATTCAATTTGGCATAAACCGTCACGGTTCGACTCCCGCTGGGGGTGTTGATAAGACTCAAACGAGGCGAGGTGGAAACTGCAGTCGACTGGTGCCGGGATGCAAACAACTTTTGTGAAAGTAAGGCTATGTGAAATTTATGCTTAGAAGAGTTGTGTTTCTGGGAATCTCTTGTTTCATAATTGTTGAGCTTACTCCCATTTCGAGTGAAAGTGTTTGGTGAAGAGATTCGTAGGTCGGTTCCATCAGAATACGACGGCGGATTCCTCTTGACCAGCTGTCGATTGGCTTTACTGCAAGATTCATGCTGACGCTTTTTTCGAGGCAATCTACTTCGATTCCGGTGAAAAGGTACTAAGCTTTCGTCCGTCACATGATGAACATCATCAGAGCAAGGTATCATCGTCACAACTAAAAGCAGACGTTCCTTTTTGCTGTCCTAATTACTTTGAGCCATAAGCGAACACAAACAGACACATACACATTCAGAGACAGACACACTGACAGGCTTCGAGGTTGACCAAATCATTTTATACTTGATCAAAGAGGCCAGATGTAGAGTAGATATACCAATTTTTAGAGATTTCCCGGTGAGTTTTTTTGACTCGTTAGCTTGAATTTTGTTGTGATGATGATACCTCGCTCTGATGATGTTCGTCATGTGACAGACGATAGCTTAGTACCTTTTCACCGGAATCGAAGGAGATTACCTCGGCAACAGCGTCAGCATGAATGTTCCAATAAGTCCAATCAACAGCTGGTCAAGAGGAATCCGTGTCGTCTTCTGGTGGAACCGAGCTTCGAATCTCTTCACCCAACACTTTCACTCGAAATGGAATTAAGCTAAACAATTGAATAGAAACATCAGCTCCTTCATCAGCTCAAACGAAATTGGGCCAATACACGTCATATTACTGATTTACTGGTAGTCTCGAAACTCTACTTAAACACGAACTACAAGTTTTAGAACATTCTATCTGATCTTCTGTGTTGAGCATATCTTCGGCCATCTCCGATTTCGGAACCCACAGACCTTGGCAGGCCGTTTTGTGACTGATCAACTCTTCTGTATGTGTCTACAAGTCTTCCCTGCGCAGACACTACGACATGAGCACGAAACCTTTTCATAGCCTGACTTTCAGAGGATGTCCTAACATTCTCTCGCAAAAGGCATGACACAGGAAAGTGTCAGTCTGACTTTACACTCTCTCTTGACGTCCTACTTTTTCACCAATCTGACAATCTTTCTCGAAGCCTGGCAACACGGTATCATCACCAACTTGGATGCTGAGTTATGCGATTCCCTGTTTTGTCCTAAATTAGCGGTTTCGCTCGATCCAATCTCTTAAAATTGTCACATTATTGACAATTAAACCCTACTGATAATTGGATGAGATGTATTTGCATTAGTTCTTGGATAAGTTGAGCTGATGCTTCCATTCAATTGCTCATGGCTCTGCTTTACCAAAAATGTGTGATCTGCAGTTTTACTCTCGCCTCAACCGGCCTCACCAACACCTCCAGCGGGACTCGAACCATGAAAGTGCAGCATGCAATCTCCACGTCTTCCCCACTACTCCACCTTGCCACGAGTGCCCCTGGCTCAGAGTGCAGATGCCCACTTCGAGGAAGGCCAGGCATTTTTTCATATCACATTCCGTAGTGGGATCGTCAATGAGGCAAAGTTATATTTTCTATAGCCATTGATTACATTAGTTACTTTTACTTTTTATAAGTAGTGTCTCGAAGTTACCAGTAAATCAAGATAATTGTTACTAACCGACATTTTTCCCTCTATTTCTTTATCCATATGGGTTGTGTCAGATAGACGCTGACTGTATGACGTTTACCTTAACACTATACGCATTAACTATGAAGAAAACCCACATTCCTACCCAGTTTGCTCCCTCACTTGAATGACCGGCATATCTAAAAAGGGCAACTTACCGTCCGTTTCCAACTCGTTCGTGAATCCAGTCGTCCTATTTCATCTTAGCATTAATCTAATCTTTGCCAATCTGTCAGATTACAAATTAGTCATTCAGATCTCTGACTAACAATTTCGAACCTCTAAATAAACCATTTAGTTGTTTGCTAAATGTCAAGTAAAACACGACACTTTTCCCATGCAAATTACCAGCAAATGCTGACTTTGCACCGTTTATTAGTAAGTTTGCTAACCTCTCTATCGGCTTCAGCATAGCATACCTCGATACAACAGGAAAACTTGATCATCTTCCAACGTAATAAAGTAATAAGCATTCTTTATTGAAAATTGCAAAAATTGTGAAATATTCTTTCATCGACCGCAAATAAACCGTCATGTTTTTTTTTGCATTACAAAATCTTTTTTATTCATAATGATCCTGAGGGGAACCCCTTTATTGTGCATTTTGGGCAGAATATAAACATTCTTTCAGTTCCCCATTTATAACGCATTATCGCGGGCTTCTGTATGGGCCTTAGTTACAATCATATTCGCATCAAAATCGGCTAAAGCCTGCATCATTTGTTCTGTATAGTCTGCCCTATTCGT